CTTCTCTCCCTCCCCTCTCTCCTCTCCTCCCCTCCCCCCTCCTCCTCTTTCCCTCCCCCTCTCTCCCTCCTCCTTCCCTCCCCCTCTCCTCTCCTCCTTCCCTCCCCCTCCTCCTCCTCCTCCCTCTCCTCCCCTCTCCTCTTCTCCTTCTTCCCCCCTCTCCCCTCCCCCCTCTCCTCCTCCTTCTCCCCCCCCTCCCCCTCTCCTCCTCTTTCTCCCCTCCCCCTCCCTCCTTCTCCCTCCCCCTCTCCTCCTCCTTCTCTCCTCCCCCTCTCCTCCTCCTTCTCCCTCCCCCTCTCCTCCTCCTTCTCCCCTCCCCCTCCTCCTCCTCCTCCCCTCTCCTCCTCCTTCTCCCCTCCCCCTCTCCTCCTCCTCCCCCTCCCCCTCTCCCTCTTCTCCCTCCCCCCTTCTCCTCCTCCTTCTCCCCTCCCCCTCTCCTCTCCTTCTCCCCTCCCCTCTCCTCCTCCTTCTCCCCTCCCCCTCTCCTCCTCCTCCTCCCCTCTCCCCCGCGTCTGACCGCTTCGTCGCCGCAGGTACGTGGTCGTGGCGACCGGCCTGGGCGTCCCCAATTCGCCGTCCTTCCCCGGCTCGGAGCTCGTCGAAGGATACGAGGACGTCTCGACGGACCCACGCGTTTTCGAGGGCAAGAATGTCCTCATCCTCGGCAGAGGTAAGTCGAGTCAAGCGTATCCTCACCGTGAGGCTGCATGAATCCAACACGGATTCGTCCTTGGTGGAGGCAGCACGAATTGTCTCTCGCCTCTCGCTCCCGAGGGAACCGCGACGGTGCTCTGCCCTGATCCTTGGTCTTTCCACTTGACACATCGAAATGCCACTCAACATCAATTCGAAACCATTTAGTCAGGTTTCTTTCCTTGTGTTATATAGACTGACATACATCATTTTCATTGCACACAACAGAGTAAGTTTATAGAGGAAATCTGCCGTTATGGGAATCTGAGTGACTTTTATTTCCTCGTGGCTGAGGTAGTTGGCTGACGTCGCCCACTCTACTCCTCTCTGTTTCTCTCCCCTTAGGCAACGCCGCCTTCGAGACGGCCGACGCCATCTACGGCAACACCAACATGGTCCACATGGTGTCTCGCTCCCGGGCGAGGCTCTCGTGGAACACGCACTACGTGGGAGACCTCAGGTGAGTACATTTTGACGTGCTTTGTTCTCCGTTCACTTGCCTTCCCCTTCTCCCACTCATTTTCCATTCTCCTTAGCCATTCACTTGCCCTTCCCTTTGTCCGTTTACTTGTTTAACCCACGCCCACACACTTGTCCTTCCTCGTGGGCGTTCTCATGTGGATAATTATGCTTCGCTGTCCCTCCTGTTATTCTCAACGGATGTAGTTGAGAGTCTCACTGCAATTCCCTTCCCACTGCTCTGAAGGCCCGATGCTATTTGCGTCTTTGCACTGCCGCAAATGGGCGCGAACGACCTTATATTATATTCCCAGTCCCCTTTCCCTCATCAAGGCATTAACAAAGTATTGAAAGTACGTCTTGGGTATGGACTGCTAACGTCGGCAAACCAAGAGGGAGGATTTTTATGTTTCTCATTTTGTTTATTTGGCTGTTCCGCGTTATTTGCATTTTTATTTTGCATATAACTTTACCTTATTTTACTCTTTTGAATGTGAATGATTTTTTAGAAGCAAACCTATCTGCATCTCCACAGGGAATTCCCATTTCAACCTACAGCTTTATTGAATCATTATCGATAAGCCAGACATGCGAAACAGAACCTCGCCCGGGCTATGCCTATGATGGGAGCCCGGTCTGTGCCGACTAGTGCCGACCTGATTAGTGTGCGTTAGCTAGTGCTGACGCGCCAGAGTTTAGTACTTACTGCCGTGGTGCCCAGCCACAGCGGTAACCTCCCGGCGACAACTGCAACTTTGGAACTGCCGACCCCTCGGATGAGAGGCCGACACGTTACCATTGTACTAGTCCAGAGGCTAAAGTTGCAATGATAATTTTCAGTTTAAAACTGTACTTCTTCATAGCGTGGTTCTATCTTATTTATGCAGGGCAATGTTGGAAGTTGTACTGGTTTTATCCATCCTCTCCTCAGGCTTGATTTGGTTTAGATCAGTGTTTCCCAAATTCCTCTCAGTGATGATAGCCTAAACTCACAGTATTTTTTGTAGTACCCTTTTCTTTGCCCCCCCCTCCCACATCACATGAATTTATCTTTACAACAGAGTGGATCTCTGCCTCTTCCACGACTTACTAAAGCTCGAAACAAAATAATCTAAGCATACATGCTCAAATGGTCAACTTCTGTTTGCCAAAAGAATTTATTTTATGACGGAATGTTATGGCACCCAGACTGAGAACCACCGGTTTATGATATATTCTTCTGAATCATTCTGATTTCGATTGTTTAGTCAGTAGACCTTGTAGGTTGTCTATCTTAAGCCAACCAGAGATAATAATATTCACATAATGAAGTCGGTGTTTCAGAGTTTCTGCAATTGTGAATTATTCTATTATGAACTCGATTAAGTTTCTCTTTTTTTGCCGATTTGCTATCCAATTTTATTTAAACTTCTACGAAAAGGAAATTCTTTGCCTAAACCACAAGGCTCCAAAGTATGATATAGCAGCGTGCTTTTGTCCTGCTGAGTCCTCCATTTAATCGTGAAGAAAAGTTATCATTGCTTTGCATTTCCTATTATCCGACTCTGCGCAAACCCCTGTTGAGCGCAACATAATCCACAGAGCACAGAAAAAAACGCCAGCTGAATTTAATAATTTATCAAAATCCTTCAAAAGAAGGCTTTTGCCTTTCAATTAAGATTGACTATCTTGGTTTTCATCCACTCCTCTCTTGTCTGCTTTTCATTTCGATTTTACCGACTGAGGTAAAATCGGAACGTTACACCTTAGTGCATCAATTATCATTATGGCTATTAGACATGCATGCTTGCTCAGTGACTCCCCATCCCGCAGGGCCATAAACAACGGGCTCCTGGACACGTACCAGTTGAAGTCACTGGACGGCCTGCTTGAGGCGGGCGTGGAGGACATGGCGCTTGAGCGACGCGCCGGCCGCATCTACGTGCAGTTCCCATGGGAGGCCGACTCGCTCAGGCAGATCCAGGCCAAGAAAGGTCAGTACTTCGCTCTTAATGAACCTATTGCCTTCGTAGAAAGCAATAGGTTCACAAAGGAATGAGAAATGATTGCTTTCATGACAATAGTAAAGCTCATGACCCACTGTAGCCGCCCTATAGAATTTCACCAGTTAGCAAACAGGTTTTCCCAAAAACGTGCTCATGACTTCAGTTCGTGGCTCTCGCTTTCATCGCGAATGATGATTCGCGATATCCCCCTGACTCTCCCTGCTTCCGTCGGCAGAGCGCGGCGAGGAGATCCCGACCGAGAACGACTTTGATAACTTCTCACTGCGCGAAGGCTACGACTACGTCATCCGCTGCCTCGGTTTCAAATTCGACTTCTCCATTTTCAACAAGTAAGGCTCGTGTTCAGTAACATGGGTTTATATTTGCAAGCTCTGATGCAACAACAAAGCACCATATTCAGAAACTTGTTTAGATACACAATCTTTGCATCAACAAGGAAGTTATTTTGAATTACACAAGCTCTGCATCGGCAAAGAAGCGGTGTATTCAGTAAGGTATGTTAATCACACAAGCTCTCCTTCATTTTCAGTAAGTTCTCTTTCAACTCGCGAGACCCGTTTCCAGCAAGTAATCACATATTCGGGTCCGTTTCATTGCATGAACTCTACTTCAGCATCATTTCAATGTCCTCTTTAGTGCACCAGCTCTGTGTACAACAAGTAACAGTTTCAGTAAAACATGTACTCTTATTTTAGACATGTGGGAGTTTACATATATATGTGTGTGTGTATCAGTGCGCGTGTGTGATTTAAAAATTTCAGTATTATCCCACTATAAAATGGAAGCAAAAATGTATCCTACCCTCTTCGCGCCGGATTGCATGCAGTTACCAAAGCACCAGAGGAATTGCTATTCATAGGACCGGAAGGCGCGCAAAGGAAGTGAAGTACTTTTAAGCCTCCGTCTCGCTTGTGCAAGAGAAGCAACATCATCTGCTCCCCTTGATTATTATTATTAGTATTAGACACCCGGTGCCGTAATCACTTAATTTCAGGAATATTTCTTGATCTGAAAAAAGTTTTCGACATGGCAGAGCATGAAATTTTCCTGGGTAAATCTCGGCACTAGATTGACCTAAATCTAAATAAAACACATTATGCAATATTCCACGGGGATAAAGCCATTCCAGCCACTCTACTGTATATCTAGATAAAGGACAACATTACTAATACAGAATCCAGAACCACTTCATCAGTATTGACTGTGATCTAACTTGAAACATATATTCAGGAATTTCAGAGGACGGTTAGTAAAGGCATAATGACACGAGTGTTTTTTAGCAACCCATTGTGATATGATCCGCCATTTGGTGTTCCCCTGAGGGCACTTTTCCAACTTGCTGGCCACACAGAGCGAACTGAACCATCGCCAATCCGCGAGATTTAGGCGCCTGAGCGGCCTCCTCACACCCTAATTACATAATCGATGCGGGTGGGTTCGCTTGAGGTCACAGGGAAGAAATAGTAAAAGTGTGTATCATAACCTACTGCAAGAATTTCCTATGGAGGGTGAATATAGGCTCCTTTGAGGAACTTTGAAGACTCACGTATGTAAATAATGACGTCACGGATACTTTCAAATGGATTTCCTTGTAAAAATAACACACTTGAAAATATAAGGATATAAGATGTAATGTATATTTAAACATCATATTAAGTGAAATACATATGACTATCATTTGTGTAGTTGAGTATTCTTTTCTTAGTAGACTACAGACACTTTTACCCACTTCGCCGATCTCCAATCGGTACATATCATCCGCTGCTATGCATCCCTAATTATATGACTGTGCACTGTATATTCTACTATAAGTATATCATCTGCTGGTTTAGTGACGATAGTTGCGTTACGCAGTTCATTTTTGCACGTAATCCTGTGGAGTTACATTTAGTGTGGAGCACCGTTTCTGTTCTGATCTCAACTTGTTTCAATTCCAGCTCGTCTATGCCGAGCAAGTCCATCAAGAAGACCAAGTACCCGGCTATCAAGTTCTCATACGAGGCCGACCGCATCCCAGGCCTCTACTTCGCCGGGACGGTTGCGCACTCGCTTGACTACCGCAAATCTGCCGGGGGATTCATCCACGGATTCCGATACACTGGTACGCGTTCCTTCCTGGGGTGGTCGAGGGACAGTCACACCTGCTGCATCTTGGGACGGTTTATGGTTTATGAAAATGTATTCTGTCAGATTATTGCATGAAGCATGTGTGTGAGAAAGGTCCTGAGAAATCCCCAAATTGCTCTTTCTATACTAAACCCAAACCCTGGCATTTCGTTACCCACGTTAACGGAAGCACCTCGGTCTCTACAGTGCGCGTGTTGCATCGGCTGCTGGAGTGGCGCCACGAAGGCCAGCGGTGGCCCGTGACCTCTTACTCGACCCGTGACCTCCTGAACGTCCTTGTCAAGCGAATCAACGAGGCGTCGGCGCCATACCAGATGTTCGGCGAACTGGCCGATGTCATCCTCCTGAGAGAGTGAGTGGAGGGAAAGCACTACTTCAGAAAACAGTACCCCCCCCTCTCTCTCCCTCCCTCCCTCCCTCCCTCTCTCTCTCTCTCTCTCTCTCTCTCTCTCTCTCTCTCTCTCTCTCTCTCTCTCTCTCTCTCTCTCTCTCTCTCTCATACACACACACACACACTTTGGGACAACTTTGGTTTGCCTAAATCAATTTGATCAATTTTGTGTCTAAAGAGACGTCATTCATTTGTTATTAAATACCTATTTATGTATTTTTTCCATATATAGGTTTGGGATCTCGGATTAGAGAGTAAACGAAAGCCGGGGAGCCGATATTGGTTCACATCTAATGATATACCTCTTAATCGTTTTATTTCGTAAATCCATTTGGGAAATGTGATGTTCAGAAACATGTAGATATTACATTCACCAGAAAAGCTCATTGTCCATTCCCTATTTTTGGTTATTGTTCATTGCTCATGATGCCAGAATATAAGATTGTACTATGATCATCTCTGAGTGACGTCACTTTTTTGTCAAATTTTCATGAATGTGACAAAATGTTCTTTTCTTTCTTTCTCAAAAGGCCTTTTCACATGATCCGTTTATTTTATGATCACAGACCCTCTCAAATTCCTCGTCATCCCCGCCGCAGCCTCCCTCAGTATCTAAGACCCTTCCCTTGCAGAGGTGGTCGGAGGTTCGAGTACCTGGAGGATTTCCCGGTGCACCTGCTGGCGCGCCTGGAGGCAGTGACAGGGCGCGATGCCGGGCCGCTGGTGGTGGTCCTCATGGAGTACGGCCCGGACTTCTCGGGTCCGGACAAGGACACCTTCCGCGTGGACCGGGCCACAGGGGACCCCCTGGAGGCACACCGCTCCAACTTTCTCCACCCTGTCTTTTACTACTTCAGGAGACTCCCAACAGGTACGGGGGTGTGGACGAGTAAGTGCCGGCCGGGGCGCGCACACGGCAGCTTTCGAGGCTTCTGTGGGCGAGGCATGGTGGGGCTCTGTCGGAGTTATAGATGACACCGGTTTTAGCATTTTGAATCAGATTCAGTCATTAGCAATTTTTGCATAGGCCTATGTGTTTATGCATAAAGCATGAGAGTGGCTCAACATTTCCAAAAGAAGGCAGATCTCTCGTAAGTCCTATTGCCGCGCCGATATGAACCTGCTCTTTGTCTTTCAGAATCGGAAATGCTTCACAAAATGGGCAAGTCGGCGCTGCCGAAGCCGGAGCGAGTGCACCACGTGCTCGAGGATTTCCTGACGGTGTGGACGGCGCAGCAGAGCCACATCCTGCCTCTGCGTCGTTTTCTTGAGTACGTCATCGGCAGAGACCTTCGCCATCACAACGCACACGTGTGTCTCTCGCACTCCTTCACCAACGGGCGCCCACCGCCTCTGTGTCCCCACGGAGGCAGCGTGGGGGGCTGGGCCATTCACCCAGTCGCGCCCACGCCCACAGGCCAGCTCCAGGGCGTCGCCAGGCCAGCACGCCCAGCCAACTACACGCTGTGGAGCCGGCCTTCGGTGCGCGCCACGCCGCCCGCGCCGCTAGCCGCCGCAGCCACCTCGTGAGCGCCGCGCCTCCAGCCGAGCCCGGCGTCGCCCGGCCCTCGGCGACCTCACGTTGCATGTACATACAAATAAACTCAGTGAGTTCAGCATTCTCGGAAAATAACGAACTGGCAAGGCGACTTCCAATGAACTCCAAAGTATCTCTGATTTTTCTCAGAGCAGATTCACACAAACGCATATGTCTATGCGAATGCCTATATTCACATGTGCATGTATATTCGTACACAATGCACGACAAAAGCCATCGATTACTTTCAAAAATCAGAAAAATTGTTTCGGTGATCTGAAACCTCTAGGAAAATGACCAGAGGCTGTCACGAAAGCCTATGAATCATGCATCGTTTTTCACAGAAAGCAGTCTTACGAACCTGAGATTAGAGAAGTAGATGCCTTACTTATCTCTAGTTTTCTTTCCTAACGTCTGACACCAGAATTCGGATGTTCTGGTCTGTTTTGAGTCTCAAACGTTATATTTTGTTTTGTCTTCCAGATATCATTTATAATACGTTGTGTAATATTTACAGAATACGTTACACAGTAATAGCCATTCATTTTACAGCTGAGAAAAAAACTGCCTCATAGCAAGTTATGTTTCAGATATTGACAGGAAATATTTTTTTATGAAATATAAGAATTTATTCCCTGTGCTTTTGAAAGAGACATGGTCCATGTGTCCATGATTTTAATTATCACACAATCATGATAGATTCAGACTAAATTTTACAAGACACAAAGGCTACACAGTACATTGTATCTTAAAAACAAATATTCATCTATGTTTTCCGGCGTGGGACAGAACTCAAGGCTCTCATAAGTATAGTATTGGAAACTGAATTACGTTCTTATTTATTCTGTAGGCCGTAAGGTGTCTATCTGTACTTCTTTGTATTCAAGCGTGATTTCATAGTATACATTCCTCTCCGGATGGCTGCTGGTGGGACTGTATTCTTGTTTTGCAGGAAATATATGAACACACACGCAGGCACAAACATATACACATAATCACACACATATACCTGTATGCTCACGCACATACACACCGCAGAAGCAAAAAAAAAGACGCAACCGCGCACATGTACACATTATTAATTTTGCCTTGATTTATGTTTTCACACATGGGATTTTAATTGGGATATTTGAAGTACGTCCAATCAAAATTGTTTAAAAAAAAAACAAGAAAGCTTATATAAACACATACCACATAATTATCCGTTCATGTAAATAGGAAACAAAAGTTGCATCTTGTTTCATTTGCATTCGAACATTTTATGATTTTATTTGTTTGTCTCCTTATTTTCTCTTTCCTTTCTGTTTCTTTAGCAGTCTCCTGAATTAATGTCTCGAACATCTGTTCACGGAGCCATCCCAGACAGCGACTTTGAAAAGCAGCCCCAAATATGATGAAGCATAACTAGCACTAGAATGGCGATGATGCACTCATTTGACAATCCTGGACATCAGATCTATTGACGCCCTCACAATGAACGATGCCTGACGACTCAAGACGGAAGATGCTTCCAGGCCATCGCAGCCGGGAAGGGCCTGTCCATGACCCGTTGCCTTCCGCCGCCGCCGCCGCTTCTGACAGCGAATTGGTGTGGCAGGATTGATCTCATATATACTTGTAAACACTTCCAGCAATTAAACTGTCTTATGCACGCTTAACTGATAACGTAACGAAGACAATATGAAGCTTCCTTGTGAGTTTAACGACGGTGAGGATTTAGGAGCTATTTCACAGCAAAATTTATCCTTTTATAAACAAAAAAAATGGACAAGTTCAAAAAACCTTATATACTGCAAATGTGCCTCCCTTTAATCCCCAATCATATGTGCTACTTTACTCAAGGTCTTTGTAAGTCTATACACCTTGACTATGCCTGCAGCCAGTCCACTGACCGTGACCCAGACGAAGAGCTAGTCAGGCATACAGAAAGGACGAGTGGAAACAAAGCAAGACGGGATGGAGATAGATAAAGGAAGAGAAAAAGCGAAGTGAATTATGGTGTTCCTGTGCTTCATGCATCTTCAGTGTATCTTGTAAATATCAAGTAAAAAGGGTGCATGTTCAAAGGTCTTCGTTCGAGGTTTCATTGGTATATTTTTTCGAGAGCCGCCACCTTAGGTGAAAACGGGGTTACGTGAGACCTAATGAAGATGACAGAGTAGAAAGCACGGCGCAGTGTCCTTTGACGATATTTTCTGCGAAGAGGCGAGCGACATTTCTGGGATCGGATTATTAGCACTTACACGAATCTCTCTCAAGTAAAATTTAGATTGCCAGAACATGGCAATCTGACTGAACAATAAAATTATTTATTCGTTATCAAATTTATTTCTCTTCCTTGGTTTACTGTATTCTCTCAAAATACACAAATATACATACGCATGCACATACTTTTTTTCTTATTACTGAATAAAGACAAGGTTGCCATTAGTTTTTGGTCATTGCTCTTCAAATTGATATATTTACAGTAACCTGTAAAATCAGTATCAATTTGCCTCCGACTCAAACACTTTCTATTCAGTGTGTGTGTGTGTGTACTCCTTTTTGCTCTCTTTCTTTATCCAAATTTCCTTCTTTCTGCGACTTCTCGTCTAATATAGAACTACAAGCAATTTCCACTGCAAACTCAGTCTTGTGAAGCGCGTGTGACGCCCAGCCCACGAGAAGCCGAGGAACCCGCCTCCCTCCCTGTCGCCTCGGGACGACACGCAGGCCACGCGGCAACACCTTTTGAAATCTGCTTGTGTAAATTCCATGATACATGTATATTTTGTCAAAGATTCAAATAAATTTCTGCAGCAGTTATTCACACCTGTGTTTTATCCATGAACCAATGACAATGATTATAGTAATAGTAGCATCAAAATGACTAATATCGCTTATGATGATAAAACAAATGGTAGAAAAAATAATATTCATAATACTACTAATAATGATAATAATAACAATAATCATAATGATAATAAAAACAATGATTGTAAAATTGACAAAAATAACAGTAATAACAAAAACAATAGTAATGATGATCATAATAATAATAATGATAAAATTAATACTAACAAAAAATAATGATAATAATGAAAATGTTTATAACAATAATAAGGATGGTGATAGAGAATAATGACAATGATACTAATTGTAATAATAATAACAATAACAATAATTATGATAATAGTAATGACAATAATAATTGTAATAATGATAATAAAAAATAGTGTTAATAATAATAATAATATTGATAATGATAATAGTAATGATAATCATGATATTCATAATCATAAGGGCAATAAGAATAGTGTTAATAATAATAACAGCAATGATAATGATAATAATACTAATAACTATGATATATGATAATAACAATAATGATAATAATAATAATGATGATGATGATGATGATGATGATGATAATGATCATAAGAACAATAATAATGATCAAAATAATAATAATAATAATGATAATGATAATAATAATAATAATAATAATAATAATAATAATGATAATGACAATAACGATAATGATAACAATAATAATAACAATAATGATAATATTCGCAATAAAAAACAATAATAATAATGGCAAAAGATGATAATGATGATAATGTTAATAATAGTAATGATAATAAAAACAACAATAAACACCATAATGATATTAATCATCACTATCATTATCATTAACATTATTATTATCATCATCTGTTATTGTTTTATCAATTATAATGATAACAAAAACATTGATAACAAAAATAACACTAGTGAAAGTAATGGTAATAATAATAATTACAATAATAACAATAACAATAATGGTAATAATAATGATGATAATAATGATAGTAATATAATAATAATAATAATAATTATTATTATTATTATTATTATTATTATTATCATTATTATTATTATTATTATTATTATTATTATTATAATAATAATAATAATAATAATAATAATATAAGAACAATAATAACAATAATAATAATAATGATAATGGTAATAATAATAATAATAATAATAATAATAATAATAATAATAATAATAATAATAATAATAATAATAATAATAATAATAATAATAATAATAATAATAACAATCATGATGGTGATGAAGATGATGAAAATAATAGAATATGATAATGATAATAATTATCATTATTATTATCATCATTATTATTACTATTATTATCATTATTATTATTATTATTATTATTATTATCATTATTATTATTATTATTATTATTATTATAACAATGATAATGAAAATTATGATGATAATAATAATGATAATACTAACAATAATGAAATTGATACTGATGATAATAATAGTAATAATAGTAATAATAATAATAACAATAACAATAATAATTATGATAATAGTAATAATAGGAAAAATGATAATAGCAATACTAATAATAATGATGATTATAATAATAGTGAAAATAATAATAATGACTACCACTACTACTGCTACTAATAATAATAATGATAATAATAAAAACAGTAATAACAACAAAAATAATAATAAAGATAACAATAATATTGACGATAATAATGATAATAATATTAATAATGATAATGACAATATCATTAATAATAATAACTGTAAAATTAACAATCATAGTAATAATAATAATAACAACAATAACAACAGCATCAATAAAAGCAAAATGATAATTATCATCATTAATATTGGATATTTATCTCTTATTATATGTATTACTATTAATATTGTTATTATCATTATTATTATCATCATAACAATAATAATGATAATGATAATAACAATAACAATAACAATAATAATAATAATAATAATAGCAACATTAATAATAATGATAATAATGATAATAATGGTAATAATAATAACAATACTACTAATAATAATAATGATAATAATATCAATAATAAATGGCAATAGTAAAATAACAAAATGTGATAATGATTATGATAATAATAATTATTGGAATCATATTTTTTCATTCTCATTATCATTATTATTATGATCACTGTCATTATCATTATTATCACTGTTATTATCATTATCATTATTATTATTATTATTACTATCATCATTATTATTATCATCCTCAGGCAGGGACTCGGCCCATCTCGAGCTCCTCATGACAGGTTTGAAGGATTTGTCCAAGCTACGACTTTCTAGGCCTCCTCCGCCCAGGGTTGTTTCTTACAGAGACAACCCGGTGAGCCAGGTGGCTATATAGACTGATTTGACGATCACGGATTATGCAGGTAACACCTGTGCCAGTCTCACAGTGCAATCGTTGCTTGGACAAGTAGTCCCGCCCACATTACCCCCTGATCCAGCGCAAGGACCTATTGCAAAAGACATCAAGACAAGACTCCAATTCGTAAGATAACGTCCAGGTTGCTCTACCATATAATAAAACTGGCATTATCAGGGCCTTGAAGATGCATATCTTGGTCCTTCAGCACAGGTACCAGCATCTCCAAATACTCTTGTTGAAAGAGTTCATGACCCTTGCTGCCAGGCTAATCCGTCGGCTGACTACCTGGTCTGACAGCCCTGAGTTTAATGTATTAAAGTTTGAAGCTAATAAATGTACTAGACATCAAAGGTCATATAGCATTACGGTAAAGTACTGTGTCGGAAAGGGTAAAGAATTCAAGATTACAATAAAATCCTTTCAGCACGGCTCTCACACCTTAGGAATGGGATAGAAGGGGATGAACAAGATACGGAAGAGGAAAGAGAGAAGAAAAGACCAAGCAAAATTAATTTAGGCAAAGGCTGAGGCCCAGGGTAGGGTCATCGTTTCTTAAGCCCTCCCATGAAACCAACAAGCAAGGTATTGGGAGGGGAGCTACACTACCAAGGTATGTAAAGCTCTCTGTGACTTCAATGTCCTTGTTGCAAGCACATTCAAGCAAGTCCCCAAAGTCTTGGATCTTGGTCTTGGTCCAGGAGACCTCTAGACCCAAGGGCTTTGCTTCATTGCTCATTGCATCCAGAGCCACCACTAAGGTTTCCAAAGATTCAGATAGAATGGCAACATCATCAGCAAAGTCAAGGTCAGTAACTTTGATATTGCCCAAAGTTGCTCCACAATGGCTTTGAATAGTAGCTCTATCCAGTAGCCAGTCAATGCAACTGCTGAAGTGTTGGTGCAAGGACACAGCCTTGCCTCACACCTGAACTAACAGGAAAGAAGCTCGACAACCCCCCCCCCCCACACACACACACACATACTTTACAGCACTTTCAGTACCGGTATATAGGCTTGCTAATAGTCTAATAATCCTTGTTGAAATTCCTCTCAATCACAGGATCTCCCAGAGTGATTCCCAATGCACCGTATTGAACGCCTTCTTGGGGTCGTTGAAGGCTGCAAGCAGCCCACATCCCAACTCACGATGGCGTTCTACAAATGACTTGAAACACAAGGATACAGTCTATTGTGGACTTACCAGGAGTGAATCCAGGTGCTCCGGCTTCTGGTGGCTCAGCAGGTGGTCTCTGATATGCATCACAAGGATGCGGGTGAGAAACTTGCTTGGTATACTGAGCAATGTGAAGTCTCGGTGATTGCTGCAGTCCCATCGGCCCCCCTTCCCCTCAACAGGTCGGGGGGAATGGTATCGGACTGCCAGATGGCAGTCAGGGCAGCATGCAACCCCCACATCATAGGTTAACCACCACCCTTTTACAGTTCATCTGGGATGCCGTAGATACCTGCTGCTTTGCCACTCCTCAGCTTGGAGATCGCCTCCCTATCTTCACTTAGGTAGAGTAGATCCTTACTAATGGGTGAGTCTAGCAACAGAATCTCAGCACTACCCACATCTGAGTTAACTTTTGGTGGATCAACCTGGTAAAACTGCTCAAAATACTCAACCCAATGCTCCTGCACTGAACAGGATCCAAGACGATCTAGCTATTTGCTGAGTGGATTGCAGTCACCTGTGAAGAGGGCTTGGAGCTCAGCTATCTCAGGGCTTGGTTTGCAGGACGAAGATCATATACTAAGAAATGGCCTTCTAACTGTTCCTTGTCCCTTCTCAGTAATGACTGAATTCTGCGCACCTGAGAACAGTGCAAATCCCAATTCCCTGTCAGACAAGCCACGCGACAAGCATCTTCTGTCTTGCTCTTGGGTGTTCACCAATGGATTCTAAAGATGCATCAACCATTTCGCGTTTGAAGGTGTTCTACAGAAGTACAGGGCCCATAGATCGCCGAGCGCTGTGAAACGACCAGAAATTGCCTTAGCGAACCCCCGGGCACAACTTCCCCAAATGAAACACTCTAGGGTGATCATTGGACTCCTGAGGAGTTTTGAAGTGGACCCAGAGGGTAGCCGCAACCAGTCTATGGTCAGTACCACAGAACTCGGCACTCCTATACACCCTGCAGTTCTGGAGGATCCTCCAACAAGTGCTAAAGAGGATGTGGTCGATATCCTTGGCTGCATTACCTGCATTGCTGTACGACATCCAACGATGTGGCTCTGAACGCTGGTACCAGGAGCCAGAAATCCTCAATTTCTGGAACATTGCAAAGTCCCGGAATAGGAGGCTAGCTAAAGATAACAATATTGTCAGTGATAGTCAAACCTTGTTTCAAAAAAGGAGGGAAAACTTATCCCAGCTTGAGGAAAAGATGATCTTTACAGATGAACTTTTAATTATTTTGACATATTGGAGGGTGAGTAATATGCACAAAATATGCCGAAATTGGCTCAGCCCTGAAAACCCAAATTTCCTCTCTCTCTCTTTCAGTTGCGATTTTTCTCTCTCTATCTTTGAAAGTAC